ATAATCATGGTCGTGGTGGTTGTTATAATCATGGTCATGGTTGTTATAATCATGGTCGTGGTTGTTATGATCATAGTCATGGTTGTTATAATCATGGTCGTGGTTGTTATAATCATGGTCGTGGTTATGATCATGGTTCTGGTTGTTATAATCATGGTCCTGGTTGTTATAATCATGGTCGTGGTCGTGATACTTACAGTATCTAATATACTATAAGAAGGAATAGAATAAAGGTTAGAATAATTAGTTAAATAAATATTCGCCATAAGGAGAGGTTAGAATCATAAAAAAAAAATTATGAATCACCGATGATCATTCCGAGATATATTATATTATGAAGAGAAGTGACCTTGATTCTGGTTAGATTGGTCACCATCTGCTTAAGTCATCACCTGTGTTAAGTCATCATAGTCATCATCTACATTAGTCAGTTTTAGGCCCATCTCACATGACTGACCGACCATCGATGTTCTTTCCGCGCGAGGGTGTTAGTTTTCAATGCGTCTTATTATTTACGCTGGTGGATGTTCCTACCCTCACTGACGCAGCTATGGTCAATTTGGTGTTATTCTTGTTTATAAATGCCTTCTAATCTGTCTCAAGTCTATCCGTCCTGTCTATTGCCATCCCAACTCTCTGTTCGTCTGCGTGGTGTTTGAATGTAAGCCCGTCTGTACTCTTTGTGTCGTCAAATCTGTCTGTCTTATCCGTTGTTGGTGTGTGTCTGCCTGTTTGTCTAATGTGAACCAGTCAGTCAGCTGTCTGTCTGTCATGTTAGTTGCCATATTGTCTATTTGTGCATGTATGAATCTGTCTATTTTTGTCAACTTCCTGTCTGTTTCACTGTCTATATTCACCCTGTGTTTATTGTAGTCATCTTCTCCATGCATTCCTGTTATTATCTTTTTATCTCACCCACAGGAATAAGTATACACTGTAGCTGTAAGGTCGTCTGGTAAAGTTGAAACTGCGCATCCAGACGCATGATGAAACTCAGCTCCCCCCCACCTGTTATCTCTAACTATTTTCTGTTTCCCCCTTCTTTATTCTTCTATTTACTCATCTTCCTTCCTTTACTAATCCAAACAATATTAAAAAACAAGTAGGCTAAGAAAAAAAGTGGGGGGAGGAGGAGTCGAGCTGTCAGATAACTGCAATCGTCTGCCCGGCAGACAGAGTACAGAGGCATCTTTTGCCAGCGTAAATAAAATGGTTAATTAATGCCTTCCTAAAGAAACCATCGACATGGGACCAGGTTTGTTCTACTCTACGAATTTTTTGCGATTTTTTCACCAAGTTTGATGAAAAACGATTGTGCCGTTTCAGCTGCCCAGAACAGATACACACACGGCTAGTCCTATAGTATATTAGAAACGGCATTATTTCCGCCTTACAATAGCTTACGAAATCTCAAAAGTCACCGTAAGTTATGAAAGAAAGTCAGCCATTTTAAATCGAGTTGTGGACTTCCTAAGTCTTCAGTGAATCACCACCACAAAAGTTTATGAACTTTTAAGCACTTACGATGATCGTATCCCACTAGTGAATCTGGGCCCAGGTCAAAAGACATTACGGCTGGTGAGAATACTGCCGTTCCTACCCGAAAGCAGCTTCAAATGTGAGTAGTTGACAGGCAAGAGGACGTCTTTCTCTCTACTCTGAAGGGAAGTTTAACCCAATTAAAGACAATGTTAGTGTGTTTAATCTAATATATTATGAGAACTTTCTCCGCTCTCAAATTTGGTCGCCTCTTCCTTGCAGTAGGTCCTTCCATCTTTTGTTTACAAACAAACTACTATCACGTGCGTCGATCTCAGCTGATTTCTCCTTCTCATATGTTTGCTTGACGATTTTGTTAACTGAGCGACGATTGGCCAACTAGCTCATGCACTGTCATCTCCCTTAGGACAAGAGAACTGAATTTATAGTGGAAACTTAAGTTACAGACTGCTTATGGAACCGTAATTAAATTTTGAGTATGAAATTTACGGGACGGTAAGCAGTCTGTAAGTTACAGTTCTGTATGTCTGCGATTGTATGTAACTGATGAGGCGTTTTGAGTATGCGGCCCCTAGACGGTAAATGCGAATGTGGTAGGGACCGAAGTTTATTGACGTAGAACTGAGAAACGAGATCGGATAATGGTCGAAATTTTGCCCAGTGTGATCGTCCCTATACAGAGTCAGTCAGTCACTCGTAGACTGTCTTCACGCGTCACAGACGGACTGAAATTTCCAAACCCTCTGTGTCAGCCAAGAGGGCCTAGTGTATGTCACAAACTGCACCTCACGTCGTCAGCCATGGCAGCCTGGCGTAATTTATCACAAATAAATTAAGATAGAAGAAATATATCGCCTTTTCATCGTGATATATATAAATCAGACAGGAACTATCATACTACGAACAGATATAGTTACGTCCTGATCAGCGACACCAAGTGATAGAGTGAAGATGACAGGTAAATAGTCACTGTATCATATAAGAGGTGGTCCCCTTTCCCGTGAGCGTTGGTTAGTGGCCGGGACACCCCCAGTCCACCCAGGTGTGAATGGATACGTCTAGTGCCTGTACCGACAGACAAAATCTAACCCATGACACAACCCTGACACACTATTAGCTTAGCTAGGCGGTCAGCCTACCCTCTCTTACCTCCTCCTAAATTTCTTCAATTTCCGAACTATAACTTCCTTCCCCCACCTCTAATCTTCTTTCACCTCTCCTTTCTCTACAAAAAAAAAATGGATACGTAACTCTACAGTACAGCTGGCGGCGAGTGTAGCGCCTGCCTGTTTTACCCACTTTCAATGTACAAATTTTTATGACTTGAGGCGTACACTTGATTGCAGCATAATTATGATCGATATAACGAGGTGGACGGTGTAATGAAACCTCGCTATATAATATGCTGAGGTGGGCGCTCATGTGATGTATTATAGATGGTCATTATTATTAGGTCCAGGAATGTCTGTCGTCGCTATAATGAGGTCTCAGTGCCTCTCTGTTCTTGTATAATTGTTCCTAAGTTAGTGATGAGGTATGAACTGTCCATCTGTAATCACCCGACGCTGCTAACCCATAATCAGAAATGTAATGCAGTGATTTTTTGTATCAATATTTATTTAGTTATTGAGGCAAGGAAAAATTTATTGCCTTCTTCAGATCCCATTAACTCTATGTGAATACAATCGTCTGAAGTTAACCAAATAAATTAAGTTTACGAGGCACCCAGAGACCCACCTTCACTGAACACTGTCTCGTTACATTAGTTGTGATCCACTTAGTTTACCTTACCTTACCTTTAAACTGAGGCAGGTAAGGTTAATTATAACTCTTAATAAATTCACTGGAAGAATAACATAGCCAGGGACACTTACCTTGTGTAGAGAGGTCGTCCGTCCGGTGCTTGAGGGTGAATATTAAACACATATCTCCTCAGTTTCTCTTGTGACCTCAGCTGCACCACACGAGCACCAGTAACTGACCTGAGGAGCCAGAGAGACTTGTCATGTAATGGACCCCTGTCTCATCAACAGAACATATTATATAAATGGGTCAATACATCTGATATTATATTCAGATTCACCACCCTGTAACTTTCCACTGTCTAGTATGAGTAAGACATGAGTTGGACACGTGAGCGGGCAACTCTCCCAAGAGGGCGAGACCCATAGCTCAGCATTTCTGTAAACCCGCACAGCGAGGCCCTCACAGTCAGTCTCTCACATCAACTCATATCGTAAGGACGTGACCTAACGTTTATAATACATAAACGCTGTCCCTTCCTCATTCACTCCTAAACAGTGGAACTTACGGTCGATCTATCACTCAGGAATTATATATACAATCCTTTTATAATAAAACAAAGGCACTACCGTTTGGGTTTCGTTACTTAAAACCCAAATATAAATATATGTGAACGGCCTGGTTAATTGCACAAGCAGCCGATTCAGTCACACATCTAGAGAAATATGATAACACACGCAGGAATGATGAGCCACAGAGCCAAAATTAATGTAAATATTTCAATTTGATGTATTTTTTTTGTCACTGTCCTTAACGTTATAATCTTATATCATATGGTGATGTTTAAACAAATCATCAGTCACCATTTGTTATTGTCAGACATCATCGTAAGGCGTCATCATCATCCTCACAAAGAACGTTATTTCTGCCCTCATGAATTAGTCTCACTCCAAAATGTATCTTTACACAGTGATCCGATGTGTCAAAATGAACATTGTGACTCCTGTTGTCTCGGTAGGGTTGTCAAAATCCTTCGTCCGTTGCGTCAGTGTCTCACACAAAATCGTAAAGAAATTTTTTGGAGCGAGAACAGTCACAGAGAGTCACGTGTCACTTAGTTTCACTCTTAGTAAATAATGTAGAACAAACGCTTATTGACCCAGCCACACCCTGAGTTGTTGAGATGCAGTAAAATGTTTAATGTATCAATAACATTAACATGGGTTATAAGAACTAGTTGTCATGTTTGTAAATCAGCTATTCATAGTCCAGTGGCTCAGTAACACGCAAATTACTTTACCAGAAATATTAAGTTGAGGTGACGCGCATTCTTTAGCATACTCACTCAACAACCACGTAGCATACGTCAGTGTCGTACTCTGGTCCTGGGAAGATGAAAGAGAAGAAAAAAACCCACCAACTGATGTATAGTAATCATTAAAGAACAAAACATAACGATATAGCTGTGTAACTTACTGCACTAAACATCGTTCATTATCTGAATGATATAATTGTAATCTTATAATTATATTCGATTTACAAGTATTCTCAACAAATATCTTTTACTGTACATTAATAACTTTTGGCACATATCGCTGACGCCCCCTCCGCCTCGGCCCCTGCGTGGCGTGTTATCGATCAACATATACAGTAGGAGGCGATTAGGGCCGTGGGAACTATCAGTCGGGGACCCTACTTCTTCAGCGACGGCGGCACAAGAGACGACTCCCACCCCCCCGCTAGTTCCCCACCTCGTTGACCCCTGACCTTCGTTCCCCTCCCCCCCTTTACCCTGCAGCTGACCCCTTGACCACTCCCACCGCTGACCCCGTGACCTCGGAGAGTCAAACTATCATTCTAAGGTCACCCTTCACTCAATTTTGATGATCTGTTTTACCACAAAGTTTAAAAGTGCAAGAGTTTAAAACTTCCTTATACCACGAGTAAATATTAGGAAATTATTGAAACCTTATGTTAAGAGATATCAAATGAAGTAATAATAGTACAATAAACGTCTTTACTCTGATGATAACACCGGAAAAAATTGAAGACAACATGGCGACTCAGAACAACTCTCACTATATAAACAATAACATAGCAGTCACAGGTCGTCACTTCACCTCTGTTCAGTCCACCTTGTCCACCGGTCCCACCTCCCTGGCTCACCACCACCACCACCACCACCACTACCACCACCAAGCCACAAGACACACGCCGAAGACCAAGGCGATGGAGTCACCGAAGGATACCATTGTGGAGTTCTGTGAGGAGACGTCCTTCCATGGTATCAAGTACTTCGTCAGGAAGGACTTCTCAGTAATCAAACGGTGAGTCTTTGGTATACTCTGAGGGTCGCAAGTTTGCTCCCGGGGCACACACAGTTGACCCAGTTATAAATGTTGACATTCAGACTTTTACAAACAGCCATACGTAATAAACGCTAAAAGATGTGGCCAAACTGATATTGGCCTCAGATTCTTGGCATCCTCACCTCACTTCATATTAAGGTAGTTAATCTTTAGGTGAAATAACCACACTCCCCCATCCCCATCCCCACCCAAACCACACCACACCACCCCACACACAACCCACATTCCCACCCCCCATTTAATCACACCCCACCAATTGGGTTATGGTGGAGTTTGATAGTTAGCATAGGGAATAGGGGAGCGTTCAAGGGTATATTACATGTTCCTAGGCTTCCCTGAACATGATCCCTGGGTCGATGTTCTCAAGAAACTTCGAAAGGGGCGGAGGCAAATTAAGCGTCATAAATCATCCAGTGTTTTAAGTCGACTGTAATTTGTTCATGACATTTATCAAGAGTGAAATAATAGATTCCAGTACAATTTTAAGCTAATGTAAATGTGACGTCATCTGCCCCTCCCTCCCTTCTACCCTTCCTCTCTCTGTCCCTCCCTCACCCCCCTCCCCCAGTACCTATGTGCGTCATGAAGTTGATTGATGCACGAGGCCAACCCTTCCCCCCTATTCACCCCCCCTACCACCATACCCCCAACTCCCTCCCCATGATATTTTACCAATTCGAGTTACAAAGTATGTTAGACTCCCAGGATTATCATTATTTTTTTTTACGGGGAATAGCCCACCCGGGCACAGATCATCGACCCACAACGGGGCCTAGAGGGCGAAAAAATAAGATTAGAAAGAAAAAAGAAAAAAAAGTTATATTAATCTACACCACGAAGATGACGGAAAACTAGCTTTTTGAAGTGAGACAGATTGTATGAGTATAGAAACACAGAAGAAGGCAGAGCATTCCACAGTTTGGATGTGTGAGGAAAGAAGGAGGCACTATAACGGGTTATTCTAGTGTGACCGACATCCACACAGAAACGACGGCCTTGCCGGCGGTACACAGGATGCCAAATCTACCGAACATTGCCCGTTAAAGTACCTGTAAAAGAGAGAGTGAAGCAACATTGCGCCGAAGAGAAAAGGAAGAGAGATTATCAACTAATGGAGGAGAGTTAATAAGACGAAATGCCTTTGATTCCACCCTATCTAACAGTTGGACAGAAGAAGAGCCACCCCAAATATGAGAGCAGTACTCCAAGTTATGACGAATGAATCCCTTATATAATAGAAGCAACTGCTCAGGAGTGAAGTAGCTACGGCATCTGTACAGCATTCCCAGCTTTCGGGAGGCAGCTTTAGCTCTGTTGAGGATTTGTGGCTTCCATGACATGTTACAGGAAATGGTGAGGCCTAGCATATCTATTTTAGAATTTGGCAGAATGATTGCGTCCTGAAATGTGATTGGTGGGAGATCATCTAATTTGGAAAGTGTAATTGGTAAATACTGAGTTTTATTACTATTGAATTTAACCAAGTTTCTACCTCCCCATTCGGAGACGTTGCACAGATTCGCATTGATACATGTAATGATATCAGCTCTAAAAACAGATCTATATTGAGAATTAGGAAAAAGGGAAAAATGTGAAGAAGAGTGAAGAGAAGAATCATCAGCGTGAGAATGGATATACTTAGTCGTAGTGTGAAGTAAATCATTGATAAAAAGAAGGAAGAGAATAGGTGAAAGAACAGAACCCTGTGGGACACCACTATTAGTAAAGAAAGAGCGAGAGGTCGATCCCTCGACAACAACTGCCATGGATCGGTTCTCAAGGAAGCTAGAAATTAGAGAACAAAGTGGTGGGGAGAAACCATAAGAGGGAAGTTTAGAAAGCAAACACTTGTGCCATACCTTGTCAAATGCTTTGGAGATGTCGAGGGCCACGACATAAGTTCTCCCATAATCCCTAAGAGAGGATGACCAAAGATGGGTGCAGTAGGAGAGCAGATCACCAGTAGATCTCGCCTGGCGAAAGCCATACTGGTGATCCGACAAAAGAGAGAGGCGTTCAAGATGACGGAGAAAATGGGAGTTCAAGATAGTTTCGAAAATCTTAGAGAGGGATAAAGTTAGGCCAATGGGGCGATAGTTGGAGGGATTAGAATGGTCATCCTTCTTTGGGATGGGCTGAAGCAAGGCATGCTTCCAAGAAGAAGGAAAAGTTTGGGTTTTGAGGCAACGGCGAAAGAGGCGAGCAAGCACAGGGCCCAGAACTTCAGCACACTCCCTAAGAACTCGAGGGGGTATTCCGTCCGGTCCATGTGCCTTACTCACATCCAACCTGGATAACACACCAGCAACCCTACGAGTAGAGATTATAGGAAAGTGCATAGGTTCAGTGGCTATAGAGTTATCAGGTCGGAAAAGAGGAGGAAAAAAAGGAGTGCAGAAGTTATCACAGATGTTTTTTGTTAAGGACCAGAAGGATTTACTAGAAGAAGAGTTTGTCAGGACAGCGGTCTTTCTTTTTATAAAATTCCGCTTGGCCCTACGAAGAATAGCCTTACATCGATTCCTAGAAGTAATGAAAGAGGAGTGGGCAATAGGAGAAGGAGATAGTTTCATAGCTTGATACACCCTATCTCTCCCCCTACAAGCAAGAGAACAGCAGCGATGAAACCATGATTGTAAAGTGAAAGTTTTGGTAGAAGATGGGATAAATGCACTCATACCACCCTGTATGACCCCAGCAATGCTGTCAGCACATACCGAGGCGTCCCGAGTGGAAAAGCAACATTCATCCCAAGGAAAGTCGGAGAAGAATTGCCGCAAGGACTGCCAGTTTGCCCTCCAATAATGCCATAGTTGGCGGTTAGAGGGGGGTGGGGGAGGTGGTCGTACCCAGTTTGATTTAATAGAAATAAGATTGTGATCAGAAAACCCAAAGGGAGCAGAAATTGAGTATGAATAGTGTGAGGGGTTAGAGGTAAAATAGAGATCAAGAATGTCAGTAAGTTGGTCGTGTCGATCAGGAACGCATAAAGTGTGTTTAATTATTTGTTCCAAATCAGTAAGTAAGGAAAAAGAGAGTGCCTCAGCTCCACCTTGGTCATCCCTTGCAGAGCCAAGCCACTCTCTGTGATGTACATTGAAATCCCCCAGGTAGAGGATCTCGGTGTTGGGGTGTGTGGATAGCAACGACTCATGGCAAGAAGTGAGATAGTCAAAGCGTTCTAAATAGTTGGTCGAGTTGGGAGAACAGTATAGGAAACAGAGAAAAATAGTCATAGTTAGTAGAGATGCCATCATAAAGGGGTGATTCAAGATCCGTGAGTCGAGTTATAGGTGTACGTGTGTTGAAGTAGGCGCATACTCCTCCCTTAGAACGCAAAGAGGTATAAAGATTGTAGTTGGAGACTTGAAAAGGTTAGGTGAAGCTGCTTTGGTCAGTTGGAGTTCAGATAGTAGTAATAGGTCGGGGGAAGAGGTTAATAGATGTTGCTCCACAGAAGGAAAATTGGATCTCAGGCCGTGAATGTTGGAAAAATGAAGTGTGAAAAAAGCCGATCCTCCAGCAACCGCGGTGACGTCAGTTGAGGCCCCAGTAATTTGATGATGATCAGGTCGGCCCTTGGGTCCACAACCTTCCCGACCAGTGGGACCCACCCGAGAAGGTCGCGCTTTAATATTATTGTCAGCTGATAACATAGGAGGGAAAAATTAGAGAGAATAGAGCAGATCAAAAGTGAGAAAGGTTATATTTGTTGTGTTGTCAAAAGTAAGAAAGACAATTGAGACCCTACAATTGTGTGTAAAAGAGGCAGAAAGACAGATGAGCAACCTGGGACATAAGAACATAGAAAATAAGGAGTCTGCAATAGGCCGGTTGGGCTGTGCAATGTACATGGCAGCTCCTGTCGAGAGTTACTACCACTCTCTATCATCCACGAATCTATCTAGCCTCATTTTAAAACTTTCCAGCTAAGCTAAGCTAAGCTAAGCTAAGCTGGTTCCACTCGTCCACCACCCTATTTGTGAACCAGTTCCTTCCTATCTCCCTCCTAAACCTAAACTTATCCAACTTAAATCCGTTGCTCCGAGTCCTATCCTGCTCGGATATTTTAAGAACTTTATCTATATCTCTTTTATTGATTCCTTTCACTCACTTAAATACTTCTGTCATATCTCCCCGCACTCTTCGTCTTTCTAGGGAATGCAAGTTTAGTTTCTTTAACCTATCTTGATATGGAAGGTTTCTAAGTCCCGGAATCATTTTCGTCATTCTTCGCAGCACCGACTCCAGTGAATTGATATCCATTCTATAATAAGGGCACCAGAACTGAACTGCATAATCGAGGTGCGGCCTGACTAACGCAAGATATATTTGCAATAAGAGCTCTGCACTCCGATTACTTACACTTCTAGATATAAAACCGAATACTCTGTTTGCCTTATTTCGAACATTAACGCACTGTATTCTAGGCCGTAGGTCCGGGCTTACAAGTACCCCTAAGTCTCTTTCACAAGTCGACTTCTCTAGGTTGATGTTGTTAAGGCTGTATACATCGACAGTATTTGTTCTTCCAATATTAAGTACGCTGCACTTGCTGGTGTTGAATTTATTTGCCATTTTCTGACCACTCCTGCAGTTTATTTAAATCCTCCTGCAGTGCATTTGCATCCTGCCCTGAATTAATCTGCCGCCCTATTTTGGTGTCATCTGCAAACTTGCTTATGTCACTGCTGATCCCAGTATCTAGATCGTTTATGTAGATTATGAACATGAATGGGCCCAGTACTGACTCCCGGGGAACCCCACTGGTTACACAGCCCCACTCAGATTTAACACCATCTACGCTGACCATCTGATCTATCGGTGAGCCATAATTTTATCCAATTTAAAACTTTCCCCTCGATACCATGAGCCTTAACTTTTCTTAGAAGCCTCTGATGCGGTACTCTGTCAAACGCTTTGCTAAAGTCTAAGTAAATAACATCGTAATTTTCGTC